TTAAATAATTATAATTAAATGCACTACTACTACAACAACAACTACTACTACTACTTCTACTACTAATAATAATAATAATTATTATTATTATTAAATTTAAACACACCTCATCAGAGGGTTGTGGGTCTCCTACTGGAGCAGAGCAGTTGTCTTCTTCTCGTCATATGATCATACTTCAATGAAAGCTAAATATAAAAAACAAAAAATAATAATTAGACAGTAGTACTCAGGGCTCCTGGTCCCCACTATGTCAGACCGTACTGTGTGTGTATTGAGGACTAAGTGTGTTTCACAGCTTCTCTAACATGCCTCTGGTCCCCACAATGTTACACTATTGCATATGTTCATAAATTAGGACACACACTAAGTTAAATAATTACAATTAAATGCACTACTACAGCAACAACATCTACTACTCCTACTACTACTACTACTACTAATAATAATAATAATAATAATAATAAACATACCTCATCAGAGAGTTGTCGGAGCAGTTTTCTTCTGCAGTCATATGGGCATCCTTCAATGAAAGCTATTTAAAAACAGCTTTGTTATATAAGTCATGTCATGACTATAAAGCTTTCATGACAGTCTTATGAACCCCCCTTTAAAGTAAAGCATTACCCAATTAATTAAACTTTTTTACCCATTAAGACAAGAAGAAGATATTAAGAGATTGATTTTATTATCTCTTATGGATGATGCAAACTCTTTATTTTTGAACAGATTTACCCTTAATCTATATTAACATTAAAAAACTCTTAGCTTTGCTGAATGTATTAAGGATTAATGTATTAAGTGATCAAAATGTCAAACCTTTCTCCAAGGCCAATCACATGCGCCATAGTCAAACGTTATTTCCTCTCCAAAGAAAATATCCCTGATTGCAAAAAGGCACAAATGAGGTTTTCTCTGAACAACGATCTTATTGACAGTGCAGTTAGGGTGCAGATCGTCCTCATGATCGGCATCAATGCTGCAAAACTAAGAGAAAAGAGCAAGCAACATTTTAATTGTGCCCTCTCATAGCAATAAAAAGCTAAACTATGGCATGAATACAAACAGAATGAATATAATATATACATGTACATTTGAATGGGGAAAACACTTAACCACCTGTTTTTGTTTTACCATATAAAGTCAAACATAAAGAGAGTATTTTTATTAATATCTCATCTATGCTTTGCTTCCACAAGCTCTATCATTTGTACTCAACCACAAAACTTCCTTTAATAAATGTGGACAACGCAAACTCTGACCTAAAAGATTTAATGAAACGTGTAGGGTTCAAAAACTACAAAAACCTCACATTAGCATCCTCTCTGTGTGTGAATTATAAATACAGTAAACCTTTTGAAGTGGATCAGAACCTTTCAACAATGTTGTTCTAATACTATTGAACACCTGTTCTTCTTTCTTAGGACAGTTTTAAAGAACTTTTTTTCCACTTCAATTGTTTACAGGTCACACTTTACAATCAGGTTTTATTAGTTAATGTGACCTAACATGACCTAGTAATGAACAATGCATGTACAGCATTTATTAATCATAGTTTAACATTTACTAATGCATCATTCAAATCTAAATTCATGCTTGTACCAGTAATAATGCATTGCAATAATTAATGCATTGTGCGTGTTCAACTAGTAATGAACAACTTTATTTTCATTAACTAAAGTTAACAAACATGAACAAATACTGTAATAAAGTATTATTCATTGTTCATGTTAGTAAATGCATTAACCAGCATTAACTAATTTAACCTTATTGTAAAAGGCTACCAGTTGACAGCAAATAAATAAATAAAACACACACAGTGAACAAATACGCCTACAACAAACCTACAACAAATACGCAAACAAATACGCAAGATACAACACCAACACCACACACACTCACCTCTTTTTCTCAGCTCTCTGAGTCTGAGGTGTCCAAACTTGTGCTATCTAGCCATGCTACCACCTGTCCACTCGATCCCATTCCCTCTCATCTCTTGCAAGCCATCTCTCCTGCAGTCATACCAACACTGACTCACATAATTAACACATCTCTTGACTCTGGTTTATTCCCCACTACATTTAAGCAGGCTAGGGTAACCCCACTGCTAAAGAAACCCAACCTGGACCATACGCTACTTGAAAACTACAGACCAGTATCCCTGCTTCCATTCATGGCCAAGATTCTGGAGAAAGTAGTGTTCAATCAAGTCCTGGACTTTCTTACTCAAAACAATCTCATGGACAACAAGCAATCCGGCTTTAAGAAAGGCCACTCAACTGAGACTGCCCTGCTCTCGGTCGTGGAGGATCTCAGACTGGCTAAAGCAGACTCTAAATCATCAGTCCTCATTTTGCTGGACTTGTCAGCTGCTTTTGACACTGTCAACCACCAGATCCTGCTATCTACGCTTGAGTCACTGGGCGTTGCGGGCACTGTTATACAATGGTTCAGATCTTACCTCTCTGACAGGTCATTCAGGGTGTCTTGGAGGGGAGAGGTGTCCAACCTACAGCATCTAAACACTGGGGTACCTCAAGGCTCTGTTCTTGGGCCACTTCTCTTCTCCATCTACACATCCTCTCTAGGACCAGTCATCCAGAGACATGGATTCTCCTACCACTGCTATGCTGATGATACCCAGCTATACCTCTCTTTTCATCCTGATGATCCCTCGGTTCCAGCTCGTATCTCAGCCTGCCTGTTGGATATTTCACACTGGATGAAAGATCATCATCTTCAGCTGAACCTCGCAAAAACGGAAATGCTTGTAGTTTCTGCCAACCCGACTCTACACCATAACTTTTCAATCCAGATGGATGGGGCAACCATTACTGCATCCAAAATGGTGAAAAGCCTTGGAGTAACGATTGATGACCAACTAAACTTCTCTGACCACATTTCTAGAACTGCTCGATCGTGCAGATTTGCACTCTATAACATCAGAAAGATCCGACCCTTCTTATCGGAACATGCAGCTCAACTCCTTGTTCAAGCTCTTGTTCTCTCCAAACTGGATTACTGCAACTCTCTACTAGCTGGGCTTCCAGCTAACTCTATCAAGCCTCTTCAACTGCTCCAGAATGCAGCAGCACGAGTTGTCTTCAATGAACCTAAACGAGCACATGTCACTCCGCTGCTAGTCCGTTTGCACTGGCTGCCAGTTGCTGCTCGCATCAAATTCAAAACTCTGATGTTTGCCTACAAAGTGACTTCTGGCCTAGCACCTTCTTATCTGCACTCACTTCTGCAGATCTATGTGCCCTCCAGAAACTTGCGTTCTGTGAATGAACGTCGCCTCGTGGTTCCATCCCAAAGAGGAAAAAAATCACTTTCGCGAACGCTCACGCTCAATCTGCCCAGTTGGTGGAATGAACTCCCTAACTGCATCAGAACAGCAGAGTCACTCGCTATTTTCAAGAAACGACTAAAAACTCAACTATTTAGTCTCCACTTCACTTCCTAATCTGCAATTGCCTATTTGAATATCACACTAACTGTACAAAAAAAAAAAAAAAAAAAAAAAAAAAAAAAAAAAAAAAAAAATAAAAAAATAAAATAAAAAAAAAAAAAAAAAAAAAAAAATTACTAACACTTCCCTTCTTAGACTTTACAGACCTGAAACTTGCCTTTAGTACTTATTCATTGTTGCTCTTAGTGGTGTAAATTGCTTCCTTGTCCTCATTTGTAAGTCGCTTTGGATAAAAGCGTCTGCTAAATGACTAAATGTAAATGTAAATGTAAATGTACTTTTATATATGTTTTACACTAAGTTGGAGTTTATTATAATTATTTATCTAAAATAAAACGTTTCTACACGTCATAGAACAATAAATTAAGTACATTTCTAGGACCAGATAGCCCCACATTTTAATTATAACCTCTATATTACTACATTAACGTATAAATAGTATATAATAGTGTTATTTCAGGATTAACGTTAAATGTTTAAAGCAATTAACCATTTAAAAAGTACGATACAAGAACTATGAAAACATACCTTAGTAACCTTCTATATATTCGGTTTCCAGTGAATGGGTCTTGTCAGTGGAGCTGGTGATGTGTTTCTCCGCATCTTTTAATGGTTTTATCCTCCGTCGATCCATTTAGCCGCCCGGTGATTGGTGACTGTCTGACCGCGGCTCATGCACTCCACCCCGGCCTCTGACTCACGTAGCACCGGGCAGTTAGCACGTTAGCACATTAGCGCGAGTAACTTTTACTCGTGTAAACAAGTTAAATTACATACCGAACTGTAGTTTGTGTCTTATCAGTGTTATATTAATACGTAATTTGAAACAACATCGATTAAAACACCCAGGAAATTCGTTAAAACATTTAATTAACTATACCTGATAACTGTCAAAATATGCAACATAAGTATTTGTCATATAACCTATTTTATTACATTATGATGGTGAAAAACATTCTAACTTACCCAAAAATTCGAATAATTTGATGATAGATCTTAATTAAGTTGATTAAAGTCGGATTCATTTATGAGATTGCGCATGTGCAGTAGGCAGAGTGTGTGAACTGCGTCAAGTGTGTGTCAGGGTGCAGTACCGCCATCCAACTACAGGACCGCTATAGAGCAGTGCGCCGACACACACTTACACACTCAATTCAGGTAAATGGTCAAGGTGGGGATCAGTGAAAAAAACTGCACTAGGCATATCAGCAACGCCCCCTGAGTCTTTTAAAGGCAAAACATAGTGGGGACCGGGCGATCGGTCCCCACTATGTTTTTGGTCCCCACTTTGTGAGTGTGCTATCATGCTGAGGTCCCCACCATGTAATAAAAACAAACACACACACACACACACACACACGCACACACACACACACACACACACACACACACACACACACACACACACACACTCCTGATATTTAATTCTGTATTGTTATAAATGCAAATTATTAATAATATTAAATTTCATGAACATTTAAGATGTTTATATATTGATATTATTTTGCCCTATTTTTTCTCTCTCTGTCAGAGTGCTGATCAGGTTTCTCCATCCTCTCATACAGTGTCTTTGCAGCGCTCCGTCAGTCGCACAGGTATCCTCCATATAGCAAAAAAAAATCACTTTTAAAAAGATTATTTGCAAAACTGGGACAACACTCATATCTTGGATGCAATTTGTATGGTTTAGCTTTTACCTATACTGTACTTATAGGGGCAGTTCACCATTTAATCTCCCTGGTGTGCTTCTAAACCTTTATGGGTTTCTTTCTTCTCTTGAACACAGAAGAGAATTTTTTGACGAGTGTTGGCAATCGCTAGCCTTTGACATCCATAGTTGAAATACTATGAAAGTCAATGGATACCAGTTTCTGACATTCTTCATAATAATGTGTGTGTTTTCTCAGAAAGTTTTTCTCTGAAAACATATTTCTAAAGGTGCTGTTGACCAGATGTTTGTTAACAACCAAAGGAATCCATACATGCAAAGAAAACTACATTAATTAGTTTACGAATGAAGTAATGTGTAATGAAATGACACAGGGAAAAAGTTTTGAACACTCAAAGAAAGGGATGTGTTTTTCGGCAATGAAAGCCCAGACAGCAGCTGAAATCTCTCAGTAGTTCTTCAGCAACCCTCTGCCCTTTATCATTGTTAATAATAGTAGCTGCTTCTGTCCAACATCTAAATTATCTGGATAATGAAGATGAAACCAGGGTGGACATTTCAGCAAGACAATGATCCAAAACGCAGACAAGGAAACTCTTAAATGGTTTCAGAGAAAGAAAATCAAGCTGTAGAATGGCCCAGCCAATCCCCTGACTTAAATCCAATAGAAAATACAAAATAAAGATCAGATTTGATAGACGAGATCCACAGAAACATTAATATTTTTACACTCTTTTGAACATGGGATGTGGTCTGTACTTATTTTCTTTACTTTATGTAAGTTTTTTTATTTTATTTTTTTTTAAACATGTTTTTTATGAATATTTTATTTGGTTTAAGGCAACAGTGTCTCCACATCAAAAGCTGCTCAGCTCATGATTTAGCAAACATCAAATCAAAAAAACAAATCGTTTATACTCCAACATCCAAGCATGCTGTAGACCAGAACAGTGCAGTTGCTTATTTACTGCATATCCAAAGAAAAGAAAGATAGCCAAAGATGCCTTTTCAAGTTTTAAAGAAATCTTTGTTTTTGACAGCAGAAGTCAATGATGCATTTGAATTGTTTAGCCTGGCATCTTTACTGTTCTAAAATATTTTAAATGTTTCTCAAAATAATAATATATTGTGTTCAATGCGGGAAAAATAGAGATTTTTGCCCAGACAAAGAACTTATTTTAGAGCAGTGATCATATCATCAGAATCTTATCCCAGCCCATGCCTATGTGCATATGAAACAGGACTGCATAATAAAGCACTACCCTTATCTTTTTACCTGAGTTATTTGATGCATTCACAGAAGTAACTTTTTTTCTGACAGTTTGCTTTAATTTGCATCTTGTTATTAATTGAAATGATGAAAATGCTGAGCCCGACTAATGTTCGTTGTATTTTAAGATGGTATATGTCAACAACAATCACTTACAGATACTAAGCTAATTATTCTTCAGGAATCAGGGATTTTTTTTTAAAACAGAAACCAACACGACTGGAGTTTAAATCTCCTTTGGAGTTTAAAGCTTTTCCAGCCATTAATAAACATGATAGATTTTGTAAGGATTTTGATAAATATATTTGTATTCACAGATTATTCCCAATAAAATTGTTTGGAACTTGACATGAATCAAACAATTAGTTGACAATCTTATGGTGTGTCTTGAGTCTTCTTGAAACACCCCCTTCGTGAAAGTTAGGGGGGGGGGGGGGTAAAAACATAACCCATGAAAGAGGCTCAAGCTCAAGACAGTCCCAGAACTGTGTCCACCAGAGGGCAGTGCGGTTTCAAAAATACTTCATGCTGTTTTTGTTGTTGTTGAATGGTGTTGTTCGTGACACTAATTTACATTTAATTTTTTTTTTTGTTTTCTGTTTTGCTGAAGCTGTATTAGTCTTAATTAACATAAAAATATTAATAAAGTCTTTACTGACTTTTGTCTGTTATTTCAGATGCATCCTCTGTGAAACCATGCTCTCCGACAGGTTCTGCTCCCAAACCCAACAGCTTCTTATTCCGTACTTCTTCACGTTGCAATGTCAAAACTGGTACATACAGACACACACACTGGTGTCAATATAGGAGTAAAAGAACTGTAATGTTTTTGTGAGTAATATATGTTGTAAACCTCTCTTGTCTGTGTGTTTATCAGGATCAGGGAACAGTTTGGCAGAGTCTGGCCGCAGCGAATCCCGCTCCACACTCAGATCCCCTCGAGAAGAGAGAACAGACATCATGCAACTACGAAAAGTAAAGAGACTTTCTGTATTATTAATTTTTTCTAATAATTTAACTACTAATCTTTAATTTTTTACTAATTTTTCTCTTCAATTTTGCTTTATTGGTATGAGTCGCATGACAAATGTTATAGATGTTATTAGATGTTATTAGACAAATGTTATAAATGTTCTTAATAACTAATATAAGAGAGATTGTAAAATGTTACATTGAAATTAGGACCACTTTACCAATCCCACAGAGACATTTAAAATGACATCAAACATGAATATAAAGCCACAAGATACACCATATTAAAAACTGAAACATTCTGTGTAGAATGTAAGCAAGCTGCTCTGGTGGAGAAGGTAAAGTCCAGTAAAGTAAAGGTAAAGTAAAAAAAAAAAACAACAACCAGTAGCGTTTTTTCTAATCACATCTCTGCCAGTGAGAGTGGTTGAGCTCAAGTGCATAAAGTGAACAGCAGATGAGAAGCATCTTAAAGGGGGAAAAGAAAATCAGCTCTTAGAGAGCATTTGATTGGTCAGAAGTATTACTGAGAGACTGAAGTTTGAGGTGATGTGAAAAAAAATCATTGCTCTATATAGGCGGAAGTACCAAACTACAAGCTTTACAAGTTTACATCAATTTCATTTCTTCTAAAAGTAAATTTTGTCAATGTTTTGGGGCACATTAGCATATAGATGTCTTAAAATCTTACAATACTAATACTGACATCTAAAAAACTTTTTTATTTAAAACTATTTATTTCCATGGGAGCTTTAAGGGTTATCTGTGTTTTCCTCCTAATAGTTCTATCTGAGGTAGGTAGGTATTTAGGTAGGTAGGTAAGTAGATAGACAGGCAGGCAGGCAGGCTGATTTGATTGATTGATTGATTGATTGATTGATTGATTGATTGATTGATTCCCTATAATCTCCCTCTTTCCATGTGTCTCTTTTAGACTCTGGAGTCTCGTCTAAAGATCAGTCTACCTGATGATCTTGGAGAGGCGTTGTCCAATGGCACAGTTCTCTGCCAGCTGGCCAATCACGTGCGACCTCGTTCTGTGTCAATCATCCACATCCCCTCACCGGCAGTGGTGAGTTAATGCTTGGATTTAATTCTTATTACAGTTCCTCTAAAAATGAAAATGACCCCATGATTTATTCACCTTCAAGCCATTCAGTGTGCATATGGCTCTCTTAATTTACTCCAATACAGTTAATATAACATCAGGGTTAATAGAGGACTTCTAAAGTAAAGCCATGCAAGAAATATATCCATATTTAAAACTTCATAAACCGCAATCAGCAGCTTCTGCTAATGTGCATAGATTTCGTTTATAGATGTGCTGCCTCTTTAAGGCCAAAAATGCAATCTAGTATCTTCTAAAACAAGCCCTCTATGTGAATCTTCAAGTGCGATCCTTATTTATCCAAATGCGGGGAAAGCTGATCCCAGATCAAACAGATTAGGCTGTTGTCGATTTGCTTTCTAATGAATGATTGTGCAATTTTTTTGTCTGTGTTCAGCCAAAGCTGAGTGCTGCCAAGTGCCGCCTCAATGTGGAAAACTTCATTGCTGCATGTCGCAGACTGGGAGTCCCTGAGGTAAACATAAATTTCATCTTTTATTGTTTGCTTCCTTTATTATACTCCAAATTATTTGTCTTTCTGAGATGTGTTGTCTGAGCTGTTTGTAAATGAGAAAGAATCCACTTCACCCGCTGATGTGACCGCTCTGATTGTAATGCTTTTTTAATGTTGTTTTTCAAGTGCTTCAACCTCGATTTGCTTTTTTTGTGCTCTCTTTGCCATTGTTTTTTTTTTTTTTTAAATCTTAAACGGATAGTCAGCTCAGGTAGTTCATTACATTCAAAGGCCGTCTGACTTCCTCCTGTGGAACCTCAATGTGTAGATGATTCACTGATGATTCATTCATATAAACCTGTCGATTCAGGTGTCAGGCTACAATTCGAAGTTTAAAAGCACCATAAACCCATAAAAACATAATTTATCATACAATATATTGGCCATTTATTTAAAGTGTTACTTGCTGTATAGTCACTATTCACTTGTATGGAAAAAAGAATCATGTGATTTGACTGCAATTTTATTTAAAAACATGCATGGTCTGCAGTTTTTAGAGTAAGAGTCCTAAACAAATCAAAACTTACCATATTGATTTTGTTAGCTCACATTATTGGTTTTGTGGTGAACAATTCATGTGTGCGACTTTTGCCCTTCTAATCCTTAATTGCAATGTGAAAATGCACTTCCTGTTAGTTTTCAGTTAAATTTTCAGATTGCTTGATTTTGAGGTAATGGGCGTGGCTAACATTCTTAACCACACTGGTTTAAGACTAGTTCACACTACAGGATTTTAAACATCAGCAGATGGCTGTGCCGTTCACACTACATGACTTTACTTTGTGTCTTTTAATCTCTGTGGTGTTCACACTACTCAACACTCTGTGAATGATCCACAATAGGGGGGTCACACACTACATGATCTGACAACAACTCATTCCCCATCAGCTCATTCAAGCAACCAAACCACAGCCAATGAAATTTTGAGGGAGGAGTCGTCAGAAAAAGCTGAACACTATTGGCTGCTTGTGTGCTGATTACATCACTGACAGCGTTTCAAGCTTTGGAGAAAGCATTTAAAAACATCGTCAAATCAGCTGATTTATCAGCGGATTAATCACTCATCTGCAAAGTTCGAGTAGATTGATACACAGAGAGTTTTTAATTTTTGTAATTGTATAACTCTTTGAAATAAAACTAACAAATAACACCCTTCCGCTTTCTAACTATTAGTGTATTTCTTTCTGCCATTGTTTTTTTTTTTATTACAAAAAAGTAAAGAACTGAGCATTTCTGCCTTAAATTACCATATTGGTCAAAATGACTGCATGCATGTCTGATATTATCGCTGTGACTTAAAATATGTGTGCATTTTCTTGCCTAGCAACTTCCTGCTAACATAAACAAAACTTTCTGATGGCAAATCAATTTACTTCAGATATCTTTCAAAACAGCATATTCTGTGCCATGAAATAGCTCCTGTTTGAAAGTGAAAATGAAAGCCAAGACCTTTGCATGTTCTAGTATCTTAACTACATATTTATAGGCTGTATTACCAAAAAATATTATATTTTTAGGGTAATGGTGTCATTAAATATGATGCCAGACATTCAAAGCTTAATTTTAATATCTCAATAATAGCTTTGAATGTAAATATGTTGTGACAATATGGCGTTTTATATGAGAACAGTCAGAATGAGCAGTATAGTAATTCTAATAGTTACAGAATTCTAGTTCCACTGTTAATATAGCCTACTCTCATGTCTGTGTTAACACAGAATGAAGCGAGTGCACCGATGCCCATTCTGACCAATCACAGATGTTTCTGTTGAGCTCCTGAACACACAGGCATTCAGCTCATGCTGATATGCTCTCTCATTGGCTGCAGCTCGCCAATACATCGGACCACACTTGGGGTTGAGTCAGCCGACTGCTCTGGAATGTTTAGCTTGCTAAATGTTGGATTTCCGTCTGCGAGGTGTCGGCGACGCATCAGCGAGCCTCGTTGATGCGTTGTTCAGTAGTACACACATAAAGAGCGGCAGGCACCGTGCACCCGCAGATTTCTTCCGATTACAGCCCGATCTGTCGGTGAGCTCGTTAACTTCCAAATCGGGCTCAAATCAGGCTTAAAATCCTCTAGTGTGAACTAGGCTTTAATTGTCAGTGTTGACAACAAACAGAAATGGTGAGCAGGAGGTGTCTGTTAGGTTGTAATAACTCTCCTCAAACCCCTTTACCGATCTTTCTTATTAAAATGCCCACTTTACCACATCTAATAAGCTCACAGTAGAAAAACAAGCCACGCCCACTGTTTTCACATTTAAAATTCCATTTCTCTACAAACTGCTTCACAATATAAGACAAAAAATTACGATTGCAGCTTACGGTTCTTTGGGACTCAAAATACATGGTTTTTGCATCTTGGTTTATAGTAAGTAGACCAATGTGCCCTGGGACATTGCAATACTTTATCATAGTGCTCTTTGTTCTAAAACTGCAGCACATATATTTATTTCATGACTAAATTAAAAGCTTGATAGTTTGACAGTTAAGAACTTTGAGAACAATGTTGTAACTCAACATTGGGTTTGTCCATATTTGATCCAATATTGGGTTACAACAATTCAGCATGTTTTTTAAGCATAGAGATTAACTTTACTTTAGATTTACTTTAAAATTATTGAAGACATGTTAAATACATAATCGTTTTTACCTTTATTGTACAGTGCACTAGAATTGCAGCTATATGCTTCTCATTTTTTGTAAGTTTTTTTTTTAATTTATTTAAAGGTGCAGTTGGTGATCTGCCTAAATGCTATTTGTTAGCTTAATATCTTTGAAACAAAATCACTCCCCTACCATCCAAAACCATGATGACAGTAGACAACACACTAAATCACATCATTTACCAGTTAAAAAAAACTTTACAGTAGCTTATAACACTACAATTCCCAATGAAAAACTGTATACTATCTAGCACATTTTTAGTTGTGTAGCAAGCAAAACTTATACTAGCAAAACTTGTCATAATGTGCAATTTTTCATACATGCAAGGATCGCTGGTTTCACTCTCTCACATGCTTTGTCCTAAAGCGACTACATATGCCTAGTGGTTGGCCGGCGGGCTGCAGAAATTACACTTATTACCAAGCCATACTTACATGCTATTTCAGAGCAAATATTCAGAGTAGCGGTGAACAATATAGGAAGCACGTCTAAATACAAATCTTGCTGTAAAAGGACCTTATGAAATTGAAAATAGTCATGTCAATCATTCAGTGGGAGATTTCAGTTGCTGAACAACACTTCTGTGCATATAACCTATTAGTAAAACAACCCAATCTACATCAGTTTGCGTGACTAAAATAGTTTTAAAACATAACATCACCTGCCTAACAGAAATACTTCAGCCATGGTGTCGTCATTCCTCCAGCGTGCAAAACTGACTCCAATTTTGATTCAGGATTTGAACAAGTTTTTATTCAGTATGTGTTTTTACCGCTGTCATGCAGATCCACTGTTTGCACGTTCACTTTAAAAAATTAGCCCAGCTACTCTAGAATAATCCTTTTGAAAAATACAGTGCTTAACAAAACCCCTTTAAACCAATGTCATAAGCTTTTTTTACAGAATCTTAGAATATTTGTATGTTCTCATTTATTTAATTATTAAAATTTTATTGACTTTGTAGCAAATCAAACTGAAACAACTAATAGTCTTATAAAAAAGAAAATCAAACGCAGAGAGTCTAAAAAACTTTTTGTAACTACTTTCATCCGACATTCCTTCACATCTGCAGCTGACGTCAGAACAGCAGAAGTTGTTGCTACTTCACCAATGTCACTTTAGAGCTAGTGTTTGAGTGATTGTCTAGCTTAATGTCTAAAGTAATGACAAAACTGGTGATTTTGCTGAAATTTTAAGATTATAAGGCTGAACAGCATGAAATGCCATCAGTCTACAGACATTTCCCAGTATTTCTCTGTTGCAATCAGGAGATCAGAATATTTAACCCCGAAAAGCCTAACAGCATAAACACTATTAGATTACTGTTGTGGTTGCGATAAGGAAAACCGCTAAACACATTCAGTCATGTTCTTCTGTCTTTCTTTTTACTCAACTAGTCTGCAGTAACAAAAACAGGAGATGCATTAGAAACAAACAGATGGAAAAACCAAAGAGTAACTCAGGGTTATACAAAGTGGCCAACACAAAACACATACATTCCTGATATGCGAGTCCCTTCTTACACTCAATACACAACAATTATCTGGTATAAATACAGCACTATAATATACAAGAAAGTCACTTACCTGTTTAGTAATGATTTGATCGGATGTACTTAGAAATTGCGCTGCTTTTATCACCATCTTGTGGCTGAATGTCAACCGTCTTTGCTCTACTTAGTATGACAGGTTGATGGATGCTAACACGCTGTATCTCCAAAATGATAATTATTTGAAAGAGACACTATCCTTATAAATAAACTGCACAGTTCCAGTCTAAAACAATTACATTCCCACCTAAAAAAAGCCTTAAAAGTACATTATGTTGTCCAACAGCTGCAGTATTTGTCATACTGTAGTAAGTTTATTTATCTGCTGTCACTATGTGGTTGGAGTAATACAGAAGGGTGAAGAGGCTGTACGAGTGCTGCTATTGCAGAATATCACACAGCTATCAGCCAATTATAATCAATAACCAGACTGAACAGTTGTTTAAAATAAAACATATAACTTAAAAAGTGTATATTCAGTCATTAAAACGGCTGTTAAGGATTGAAAGTAAATAACAAATAAAAAATAAATAAAAAAATAAATAATAGAAAGCTTTACTAATTTTATTTTTACCTTGAAAAACAATCAATTTAATAATTCTTAATTAAAAACAATATTGTAGTATTAAAAATACTACTGTGACTAATGAGCTTATAGAGACATAGATATAGCATCAACAAATGATTTTAGCAACTACAGTTAGACTAGGGCAGCTGTGGTTGATCAATAAATTAGTGGCCTAATAAATTTAAGCACTCTAAATATTCAAGTAATTTTGTGAAAGTTATGTATTTGTTCCATATTGCAATTCAAATAACAGAGAAACAAAGCATTGTTCAGCCCTAGTAGGTCTATAAACATCTCATTTTGTGTTCCATGGAGGAAAGGAAGTCATATGGGTTCTGATTCTGCAAAAAAAAAAAAAAATCAACAAAATTGTTTTTTGGGGCATTTTTGAGCAAACTATCCCTTTAAAATGGTTAAGCTTTAATGTGTTTTTCTTTGTCCAAACATCTTTGTCTGTCTTCTCTGCATTGTCTCTGTGTTTCTCAGATGGAGTTGTGTTTAGCGTCTGATATCCTGCGCAGTAAGTTGCCTGCAGTTCTTCGCTGTGTGATGGGGCTCCTGGCAAAAGCAGGAGACGAGGAGGTGACAGAGGACAAGAACACCACCTCTCCCTTTGTCTCTCCTTCCTCCCCCTTTTCCATCGGCTTCCTGCTCTTCTACTCTCTCCTTATGGCTTTGCTCTATCTGTTGTACTGCAACCTTATAGCATAGTGCGAGCAAGTATCTCTGTGTAAATACAATGGATTTTAAAGTCCATCTTCTTTGTACTGTGTACACTGTAACATCCATCCTTGACAAGACCTACCCGTACACCTTTAAATAATAATAATAAAAGAAATAGGCAAATTCTAGTGGCAATTACCAATATAATTTTCATACATGGGGTTCTGAAATAATTTAATAGATGTAACTTCAATATTATGATTGGTTCTCTGGATTTGCTACAATTGATATTGACAACTGATATATTATAAGAATATAAGAATATAAGAATATCAGCATTTATATATATAAGATATACATAGGATATATATATATATATATATATATATATATATATATACACATACATATATATATATATATATATATATATATATATATATATATATATATATATATATATATATATACACACATAAAGATAAATCCCTTTAATGCCATAATATACACTATCATAATATACAAGTCACTCACAAACTTAAATTGTGCTATAAATGCTAAAAATAAAAAAATAATAATACAGATTAAATGCAAATTATAATAGGGCTTGATCAAATATTCACAATTTTTATGCACCGCTATGATATAAACAGCTCATAAATAGCCAAATACTCATCTTTTATATATAATACATGGACATTTTATAGATGTGGACTTAATTCATGAAGGGCTTTTTCACTCGATTGCCTTAGCACCACGGTTGATCCCAGGATAGCTTATAGCCTACATCTTCTATCAAGAATGGCTGTCTTTGTAAGAAGTCTTGTTATCCTAACAGTTTTAAAGGAGCGGCACAAAACTCCCCATCTCATTGGAATAGCTTTAAAACGGCTTGTAATCGCTCTGCATGTCCTCATCAAAGTGCCTCATAAGCTTGTAGGTTCCTCCTGGTCACACAGCAGTGTGAATTAGCTTGTAGCATCCGGTAAATGTGTTAACAGTTTGGTGACGGTACTTCTCAGACGAATTCAGTTTAATTCACACGTTGTAGGTATCTGTTAGGATATTTTTGTCACTTTTCTACTCTGTTTTTTCTCGTCTTGTCGATTGTGACCACCAGAGGGCAGTGTCGCTTCTAAACTGTCTCTACGACACTTGTTTTGACGGTACTAATATGACTCGAAGCTGTGTTAACGCGTTTTGAATGTTCGTTTTGTTTTGTCTTGAAAGCATCTTAATATAATTATTATATGTGAACTGTTCAGAATTAAGTTATTGTGTCAATTTATTTATATGTGTTTTCTATGTTCTGCTGAAGCTGCATTTGGTGGAAACAGTCTCACTTTCATTTGAATAGCTGATTCATCCATTAATGATCGTTGAAAACAGCAAGAATTTTTGAGGACAGTGATAAATATGCATGTTTGTCATGGTTGCAAAATTCTGATAAGCAGATGTTACAAATTACACCTCTTTTTTTGTGTTTTTGTTAATTGAAGATAAATTGGTTTGCGAGTTGTGCATCTCTACAGGCCTCTTCAGCTGCTGTTTTCTGATTTCCAATGCGGCTGTAGTGGTTTTTCTAGTCCTGTAATGTGCCATGAGCACCCATCTTTCCCCGGTGCTGTATGCTGATGTTGCTTTTGTATTCTGTGCCTACTTAATGTGATTTAGGAGCTTTGCTGACAGTTTACTAACGAGCAGCCGCTCATCTGGGGAAAAACGATAAGAGGAGAGGGAGAAAGAGAGAGACTGGGAAGCAGGGGTAGGTGAAGGGATGCCTTATAACTAGTTAGCATCCCTCACCATACAGTGTCTTAAGCAGTTACTTTGTTCCAGTGTATGTAAGAAGGGGTTATAACATCCTTGATGTGGATTGCTAGAGCTAATCGTAATAGACACTTCATTTAAAATCAATCTGCTCTGATAATGAACTTGGCTTTAGCGTAGATGAACGTTCTCACATCTGCAGGAGTTCTGTGAAATAATAATGAAATATGCTACACGTTAAATGCTTTTACTGAGGATGACTGACGATTTAACGTTATACACACACACTAGATTCAGTTTAGAGGGCACTAGATCTACATCAATGTTTCCGTCCACATGTTACCTATAGTGGAAACTGTTGCAACACATGAAATGTATTTTGTAATATTTATAAAATACTGTGTATTTAAGAAGTTAAGTTTATATTGATATAAAGATTTTTGTTTGTCTGTAAAGAAATTATTATTAAAAAAAAAGACGAAATATTGATTTTTGTATGTGTTGTCTGCTGCTTTACATGTGCTTTTGTCTAATGTTGATCCCTGGCTCATGATTAATTCTGCTTTAGTTTTGTCTCTCCGCTGAGGGTGAAATCCTCACGTCAGCTCGTCTCTGTAGCTTATGAGGCAAGATATTCTGTGCCCTTTCCCAAAAGGTAAGTGTTGATCCTTTTGTGTGGGTGGTGGAAAATGGAGAAAAAGAAAAGCATGCACTGTACACACAATGGGGTCCAAAAGTCAGAGACCATATTGAAAATTTCTTTCTTTCTTTCTTTCTTTCTTTCTTTCTTTCTTTCTTTCTTTCTTTCTTTCTTTCTTTCTTTCTTTCTTTCTTTCTTTCTTTCTTTCTTTCTTTCTTTTTTTCTTTCTCTTTTATAACTTGTGCTGGTCATGCAGCTTGAATGCTGCTGTTATTAAAGGGCACCTATTTTACCCCTTTTTCAAAATGTAAGACAAGTCTTTTGTGTCTTCAGAATGTGTCTGCAAAGTTTCAGCTCTAAACACCCATCAGATGATTTATTATACCTTCACTATTTATTATCTAAATTTCTGCTCTGAACACAATGGAGCTGTTTTTGTGGCCTGTGCCTTTAATGCTAGCCCCCCCCCCCCCTTTTTTATTGAGTTTGCCTCAATCTCTGCCTCGGCTGCGTCAGATAAACTGGACAGTGACAGACGGAATCAGAGCTCATGTAATGTTTGTAAGAAATACTACAGTAAGAACTTTACCAATGATTATTTGATGAATTTGTTGTGGAGTTAATTCAGGCTTTTCTGCAATGATGAGTCACGAACAGTGTCTTTAATAAGTTTATGCACACACACAGACACACACACAGCGTGCACGTTTAACTTTGCACTGTTTTTGCAAGGCAGATGTGACAGGACAACCTGATCTCATGAGTTACATAAGTATTTTACGTTTTGTTAGATTAGTGGCTAATTCGTACAAGTTCACGATTCAAGAACGTTTACGATTTTAAAAAGAAGGCGTGGCACCCAACGCCAACCATCATCGGGTGATGAGCAAATCGTACTAAATTGTTTGAATCAGATCATACCAATTCATTTGAATTAGCCACTAAATCAAAAAGCTACAAATTGCCATGAGATTGCATTGGAAAAGATACATTTTAATATCCACTGTTATATATATATATATATATAAACCTGATTTAAAGTCCACAAACTGGAAATGAAGTGTCTTCTTTTATAAGTGTACTGACATGTGGCTGTGGTGATTAACAGTAAACACGGTAAAAAAAAATTGTAATTCCCATTTTGTGAAAGTCATTCTTGATCACATTTGATGATGATTGATGATCCTGGAGCAAATTAAACAGATCTTTTAATCCCAGTCGCTTTGCACACATCCTGTCTTGTTGATATGATTATACGTGTTACTATGGAGACATGTTAACACGTGGCTGTCAATCATTTCAATGGGCGGGGAAACTACTCCTGCATCACGTAGCGGTGGGCCTAAAATGGGAGGGATTTGGATCCTATTTTAACGTCAGGAAATTTTAAAAAGAGACTTATCATCTTTACATCATCCCAAATATGACTGTGAACACTCTATACCTACACATAGCTCTGTCCAAACAGCTTACAAAAGCTGATTTTCATCATAGGTGCCCTTTAATGTGTCATTTTTGTACAAATTGTCTATTTTTGCTAGTTTGTAAAAAACAATTTCTGATGATAACTTGTACTGAACGCATAACAAAAAAAACAAAAAAAACAAAAAAAAAAAAAAAAAAAAAATATATATATATATATATATATATATATATATATATATATATATATATATATATATATATATATATATATCATACATTTTGGATCCCACTGTGTGTTTGTTTATCTTTTTTTTTTTTCAAGTTCAAAAGTTGTTGAGTTTTTTTTATGTTCACCAAGGCTGCATTTTTGGTTCTGAAATACAATAAAAACTATTTTGTTAATTAAATATTATTATAATTTAAAATAACTGTTTTCAAATGTAGAAGCTAAATTTACTATTATTTCAGTTATACGTGGTTTTGTCTTATATTTAATGACAAAAGCTGTTGCAGATTGTAAAGCATTTGTATTATATTTGTTTTTGTGGAAAACACTATTTTTCTTTTTCTTTAATGATTGGAAAATTCAAAGGGACATATAGCAGTGTTCAGCATATATAAGTACACCCCTCACAAATCTCTTTTAAAATCATAATCTTATCAAACAAAATAACTTACGATAACGGTCTTGAAACTAGTACAGCCAAATGTACATGTTGAAATATTAAACACAACTTTAAAAACAGGAAAATCAAGAGAAGCAAAAAAATTAAAGAATTAGTTGAAACTTTGTAGGTTGTAATTCATTTTTGCAATGTTTTGCTTAAATTTAATTGTATTATCTTTCAATTTCTAATTATGTTTGGTGACAAAAATATTATTGTAATAAATATATCCGTTTCATAAATCTGTTTTGTTTAAATGCACCAAAATACATTATCTATATTCACTGAGAAATGGATAAAAATATTCGTTTTCAAAATGGGGTTTCTCAATTATGCTGAGCACTGTATGTGAAAGATAATCCTAATTATAGATTCCTTTAATATCAATTTGGATAACCTTTTCAATTCTTTAAAAAATACAAATAAACAATTTTGTAAGTGCATAAGTATTCACCCTCCTAAAGATTTCTTATTTTATGCAGCCGTTAACAAGCTTTTAGTGGTCATAATTAACAAGCTATTAGTAGTCATAAGTCTTTATAAACTTTTTTTTACTCACAATTACAGTTGAATATTTGCTCATTATTCTTTTCAAACACTTTGCCATTTAGACCAAACAGTTCACGCTGCCGAAACTCACTGTGCAGAATGAACCGTGCCATAAAATGCTCTTCTCAGGGATTCTCATATACAGCCTAATCAACACATAAAATGCATGAATGTCATTGCTTCGAGCAGTCTGAGTTTTTAAATCATCAAAGTTTTTTTTTTTTCCTTCCACACTCGCCAGTGTTACGGTCTGCAAGCACTAATTAGGACACTATATCAGAAGCAGCTGAAATCATGTGAAGCACCTCG